ACCAAAGCCCCTTTCTATAACAAAAACTTAGCATATTTTTGTTTTGCTGGACCAGTTTACTCAAGCAAAAGGCAAAAGAAATTAGGGATACAAAAGAATATCAGCACCAAATCACAGTTCACATCACAGGCCAACAGTTCTCAGATGATTTCTTATTTAAGTCCAAATAGAAAAGACACTACATATTCTTTAGGACATGTACAGAATTGTTAATCTTTTCCTTGTATTAGCTTACAGTTTCCATCTTGATTTTTAAATATATGTGATTTTCTCCATTTAGACTAATACTAGTTAAACTCCTCGTGTTTGTGAGATCCCACATATTTTGGCTTCCAAGTGATTTGTTTTTCCCATTAAATTGAATACAGGTCTCTCTTTTCTAATGCACTGACAATTAAAGTACTATACAAAAGAGAAATGTTCACTAATCAAACAAACAAAAAAAGGACAAAAGGCGTATGCCTTCCAGGAAAATATAATAATTTACACTTTCTATGTCATGTTCCAAATTTCCTTCTTGTATAATAATTTTGTCATTTAATGGTATAAGGTCATATTTGAGCATGAAATAGAACTGCAGCAGAGCTTCTATTACCAACTTTAGGGTCTGTTTTTCAATTTTTAATTCAAATCTCAGAAATAAAATGAAAGGCAATGATTTTTAACAATAATAGAATTCCGCCAGTAAATGTCAAGATAAACTTTGAGTCTAGTGACAGTACAGCATATCAGCTGATGAAAAAATATAGTTAGTCATACAAGTGGATGTGCAAAGTTTTCCTATCTCACTAAATTGTTATTTTGCTGCACAAAACAAAACAACAAAAACCTCACAGAAAAATCAATGAACATTTCTCCCTAGCAACAGAGGGAAAAAAATCAGGAGCAGCGTGAAGAGGATGCTGAACAGACAGTAAGTGAGTGATAGCTGCAGTAATCTGAACAGACTGAGGAAAGAGACTGCTGTTTAGTTTTGGCTGCAGCACTAATAGTACAAGGCAATAAAATCTGTGGTTTTCATTATAGAAAAAGAAAAAAAAAATCACACTCATCCAAAAAAAACTTTTCAAAAACGAAAAGGTACGAGTCCTTGCAATTGCTGTATTGCCATTAAAGTATTACTATTAAGAGTACCACTTTAGCACTCTTCATGGGTAGCATTGTTGAAAAACAGTAACACAAAAAAAACCCCTGTAGTTTAACAACAGCTGTATAGGATTTTTATGCAAAAATTTCCTAAAAAATCATAACAAATATGGAAAGCACTATCAGCACCAAAGACCCTGTTTGTTGTCCCTATGGCCTCTAACACATTCTGAGAAAATAATCCCAGGCTGTCAGCTAGAACAGCTTGCTGACATAAACAACTGTGATACATCCAGAATGTCAGACCATTGGACTGTTCCAAAAAGTGTTCAGAGAAAATCTAACAAATGAAATCAGAAAGGTCCAGCTTCCCTAATGTATAGGCTTAATTTGCTTCAATAGGAATAAATTAGCAGATGTTGTAAAAGAGCCTAACAACAGAAAACTTACTTGTGAGCAATATTGTGCAAATATTTTCTAAAGCTATTAATTTTTATAATTACTCCTGTAATATTTAAATACCATCTACTTCGATTATATGTTGCTAAGGGCCAAATATGAATGTTAAACCTGCCAAGTGACAATTTCAGCACGTGCCTGTAAAAGACCGTCACTTCTTCAGTCATGAAAAATCCTTCTTCAGCACATCTTTGCAGTTTTAACACCAACTAGGCACAAAGCCCATTATATAGACAATTCTTTTATTGAACAGACAGAAGCAACATGGGGAATTCACTGAGTTTTCCCAATAAACAACTGAAAAAGGGTTTCACAATGGTTGTATTTGTCAATTGTCAGTAGTAGTTCTCTACTTCCTCTAACAAGTCTGTGGTATTATCAGGGTTCCAGAAAGAAACTAAAATGATCTCTTCAAAAACCAGAAAACATTTCTGGAGCTGAAAATGGAAAATATCTCTCATTATCACGAAAGAATACAGACAAGATCTAGCCCAAGACCATGATGCTATACCAGAAACCTTTAGCACACCACACCTTGTATGTGAAGTGCCTGTTTATACTTATGGGTGAAAAGGTTTGTGCTAAATCCTCATAATGAATTCAGAGTACTTTTTTATAAATATGCATGGCCAAGGAAAACAAACAAATATGAAGAATCTACTGCAAACTCTTTTAGTTTTGATAATGTGCAAGAGCACAACACGTAGATTTCCTACAATAAGCTTAATTTTGTATCCCTCATCCACCACTTCATTCTACTCAAACTCACAAATACATGAAATGCATCTCTGGCACATCAGCACAGAAATTTCCATAGCAGAAAGGTGCCCCTGTAGCACAGGTCTTTCCCATCAATCCCTGTTCCTCAGCCTCTATATGCCAGCACTTAGGGCTGGAATGTGTGTTGTGACCCTGCAGACCCAGGCCATGGAAACAGAATCAGCTTCCTGATTGCACTGTTGAGTGAGACTTGGACATAAGAGAGAAATGAACTGATGTTTAAGAACTGTGAGACTTTTTAAAGAACTGAAGAAAAGGAAGCAGCTTGAAAACAGATTCTGACTGAAGACATCCATCAAAGAATAAAGAGGCAAATATGCTAGAGGGGAGAATAAATGAGACCAAGCCACAGAAATGAGACTGACATAGTGAAAATTGACAAGAATAAAAAAACTAAGTAATTTAGAGGGTTTTCATATACACAATGAAACTCTCATCAGTGGAAAAATAAAAAGCAGCACTTAGTTAAATTATTAATATTAATGAACTTCAGAAATATTAAAAACAAAATTCCCAGGTAAGACTCAATTTAAGAAATCCTACAACTCCACTGAGACAAAAATACCATAAGGAGTTTGAACTAACTAAAAAACTCAAATAAAGGATCTTCTAAAAGCCTTCTTTTCCTGCTAAATTCTCATCTCAAGATATGATATGAAAATCTGTATTTTACAGTTTATGATCTCCTACAGGTCACAATATATGAAATTCTACCCAGCAATTCCTCTACTGGAGTCAGTAACTTGTATTTGTCAGAGCAAGTGAATTTGTCATGTATTTATGAACCAACCTACTTTACTCTTCAAATTAAAAAACCTTTAGAGGCCTACATTTTCACCTTGTAAGATATTGCTGCATCTACTTTATGAGTTAAATAGAAAGAGTCCTTTGTATGTCTCACTGTTTCCAGTCTTTGAACATTTCCTGCATCTTTACATTCTCACCAATACATCACTCTCTCTTCCATGACACAGCTGTAGACCTATCACTCTCAAACACAAATGTTACAGAAAAAATTGACACTGTTCTGTAGTCCTTTCCACTCCACTATTCTGTTCATCAGAAGATCACAGATACCAGCCAGAGAGAGGAAAAACGGACTAAGAAGTGGTTCCTGGTCCTAGCTGTATGACTTTGCAAGTGCCTGTAAACATTTTTGAGTGAATACAAGTTACTAAATAATCTAGATTACTCTGCAGAACTATGTTGGCATCATTGCTACTTGCTACTCATCAGTCTTCGTATCAGTCACGCTTATTTTTTAGAGTGATTTTTGATTACACTCCTTTGATAAAACTGTTTGAAAACACGAACATTTAGCATTACAACAATGCGGTTACTTTTATGCCAATTTTGTAATCTTATCAAAGCATTAAGTAAGCTTTCTTTACAACAGTTGTTTTCCCTAGAACAACATTGATTTGCATTAATTATATTCTCATCCATTAATTGCTTTTTGTTTTAATCACCTTAGTCATGTATGAGTTTCCTATTAGATGACAGTTTAACCCAGTCATACTCAACTCACTTCATGTTTTTACACACTGGCATAACATGGACATTAACACAGCCTTCAGAAACCTATCCACAAAAGGCTACAGTTAATATCAGCAGATGAAAGATCCAACCAGCAAAGCCTTAAGTGTGCGTGGTAATTCCATCCATACAGACTAGTAACAGCACGATGTTGATAGCTATACAAAATCCCCAATTCCATTCAAATTTAAAATAGGACTACTCCACACGAACACTACAGCCAATTGATACTTTAACCAATTTAGATTCTGACATTTCTTTCCAGTATACAGTTGTTTGGGGTTTTTTGTCCTTATGTTATGATACAGAAGACCCCCCACAAATGTCAGGAGCAACTGACTGATTTCTGTCTAGAAGGACAGAAAAGACAAGCATATTGATAACCACTATTTTTATTTAGTTTTTGAATAATATTTATGTTAGTTGTTACAAAAAGATACGTATTTCAAACATAAGAGTAATATTTTAAAGGTTAATTTTCTTGAATCCCATAGAGGAAGCATTCTCAAACCAGAACACATGGTCTTGCAAGAAACTAATATAAACCACTTCAAAGTGATACATGGAACTGTGTGACTGCATGTTGAAAACTACTCCCTGCTCTGGTCCCTGCAGCTAAAAAAGAATATAATGATATTTTTATAAGTACAGGAAGGTTGACAAAGATGATCAGACATAAAAAACTGCTTCCTAATCATATTACAATTTCCTTTCTTGACAAAAATGGCTAACAAAGCATATAAAGTATTTATGCTTTTACATAAATTAAGTGAATCGGGATTTTTTTTTTTACTATTTTACTTGGGACAAAGAAAGTACTTATAAGGTAGAGCTCACCATTTTGATTTTTGAAACTTCAATATCTTTAAATTGCCTAGTCTAATGCATAACTGCCTATTAAAGCTATTGATAACAGTCAACTAGGTAAGGACTGGACATTCAAGCCATGCCCATATTTTATTTTTTACTCCCACTTCTTCAAAAATATATTCAAACTTTGTCCTATTATAGCCTCTTATCATAAAAGTTGTATTCATCTTCCTAATACCGCAACAATGGTGATACTGGTAGTATCAGTCTCTTCTGAATATACACCACAGATTTCTCTTTTCAAACATATACTTTTTTTCTTATTTTTAAAGTTCTTTAGGAGCCTCATCTCCTTCTGTTTTCTCAATCCACTTTGTTTCATAAGTTCCCTAGTTGGCACCTTGTAACTATGCACTTTTGTCTCTCTCCCCTATAAACATCTCTTACTCTGCTCTGTTATACGAAATAAGAGACCTTTGGAGTCTACCTGTCTCTAACACTCCCAAGCATCTTTTGTCATCTCAGATCATAAAACACAGGAACTGCATCTTAAGTGACAATCAGTACCACATAATTAATCACTAGGGGGGCCAGATAGGGACTGTCATAATAAAAATTAATAATAAACAGTTAAAAGTACACTAAGAGTCTTTCCTCAAAAAGGAGAAAATCCTTTTAGATTAAAAGTTTCCTGACCTAAATTCTTTTTTCTTATATCATTTCAAAGAAACTGCCAGTGACTTATTTTCAGTGTAAACTACTGTGCTATGGCACTGCAAGGATGTTGCAGCACAAAATAACTGATCTTAAAATCCTGATCAGTTCAACGTGCAGTGAAACAGTAAACAAAAGCGTGTATTGTTGGAGGGAGAAAAAAACAAACAACACAAACACAAAAACAAAACAGCGTGGCTTAAAGTACATAAAGAGCTGTTTAATCTCAGAACTCTCTGCAGAGCAAATTCCTCAAGCTTTATTAATGAGAGAAGATGTGTTGACTTTATTTCTTTTTTCCTCAAAACCTTCCTAACATTGCAAACCCAACAAATAAACAATATTCCAAGCGGCCATTAACCTTGGGATCATCTTCTCATTTTACAGCATTCTAAGTACATTTTCAAGAACTTTTATATGGAGAAGTGGAAACAGCTGCAAGTTCACCCCAGACACGTGTCCTAAGCCAGTAAACACAAACCGCAATGTAAATAAATATAACCCAGATCTATTTATAGCCCAGAAAAGCTGAGTACATTATGCGAGCACAGACATGGTCTTATGGCCACGTGAAGCCAGGCGGAGTAAAAGGTAATATAGTCATGTTCTGAGTAACACACCTCTTACAAGTCAGTGACCATGAACACTTCTAGTTTATAGAGATTAGGTAAAACCAGGACATTTGGATGAAACCACAAACCAGCCATACCTTTGTACAAGCCAATACTCACTAACGAGACTTGGAATTGAGTTGTTTATTTTTTAGATCAAAAAACAACTTCTGCAGGCTTTTGTAATCTGTAACAATACAATAACATCCCGTAGAGAGACTTAACTAGTTACATACAATTAGAATAGTTTCAGACAATCTGAATCTAAAAATAGGCTGCTATTTCACAAAGCTGGCGCTGACCCACATCGAAGTGTTTCCCAGGCTGCGGTGTCCAGCCGGCTGACGTGCCTGTATCCCTTGGGCATAGCAGCGACACTGTCGGTGCTTCCCACCACCGGGCTCCAACTCCTGATCATGCCTTCAGGAAACCACTGTGCTGTTCCCTAGGAGCGAGAGGGAACACAAGGTTGAGAGAGCCCCTGTTGTTTCCCACACCACTTCTGGCCTACTGGGCTGATCTCCTATGTGCAACACTAGAAATCACCGTTTTTATCCCGACTTAAACAACACCGGGTAATCCGCGGGCAAAACGCGCTAAGAGCTTCCTGCCAGCATTAAACTCGCCAAAGCGGTTTTGCGGCTCGCGGGCGAAGGACCTGAGGGATTAAACCCGCCCGGAGGCCACGCTGGCGCCATCCCGCGTCCTGCGGCCCCCGCGGGAGCGGCTGTCCCGCCTGGCCCCGCCGCGGCGCGGGCAGAGCTCAGGACTCGCCGTCCCAAGGAATCGGAAGCTCGCTCCGGCTGCTCCCGGCGCAGCCGCCGACACCGGTGCGGGCGGGCGGGGCTGCGCGGGGTGTCCCGGCCCGGCCCCCGCCCCGGCCCCATTCACGAACCGGTTCCCGCCGGCCGCCTCCGCCGCTCGCGCCGCCCGCCCCCGGCACCGCCCCGCCCCCCCAGGCCTCGCGCCCGCCCCGGGCGCCCCAGTGGCGGCTCTGATTGGGTGGGGGCGACGCTCGTCAGTGACGCGCGCGGGCGAGGGGCGGGGCCGGGGCGCTCGTGGGGGAGGCGGCGCCGAGTGTCGCTCCTGGTGCAGCCGCGTCCGCCCCGCGCTGCCCGCAGAGCCGCCCGCCCGCCGCAGCCGCTGTATGGTCCTGCCCCGCGCCGCCGCCGCCGAACCCCCGCCGGCAGCTCCGCGGCCTCCAGCGCCTCCGCCTCCTCCCCCTCCTGGTTCTGCTCCTCCTGCCCCCGGCTGTGGCGCCCGCACCCCGGCTGTATGATCAGGCTACAGTCTTCAATGAGTAACCATATTCCTGTGAGTGTCGCCCGCCCGCGCCCCCCGGCCCCTCGCCCTGCTGGCCGCCCGTCCGTGCCCGGCTCCTCGCGCCTCTCCTCCTGCTCCTCCATGTTATCCCTTTGTTCTCTCGCCCAGCTGCCGGCGGCTTCTCGAAGCGCCGGGCTGCGGCTTCCCTCAGGCGGGCCGCTGGAGCACCGAGCCCGCCAGGCTGCGGCACGACTCGGCCTCTGCCGCCCCCGGCGCCCCTCTCCCTCCTCCGCCGGGAAAGGAGGAGACGGCGACCTCTCCGCGGCTCCCAGGCGGTCCGGCCGGGCACAAAGCCGCTTTGTGAACCTAGCTGCCGCCTGCCCCCCCCACGCCGGCCCGGCCTTCCCCCTGCCGGGGTCTGTGTCCGCCGGGCCGGGCCTCCCGCCGGGAAGGGCAGCGCCCCCGGGGCTCCACGCCCAGGACCCCGCGCCCATGGCCGTGCCAGGAGCCCCCTGCCGGGGGGAGGCCGAGCCGGGCGGCGGCTCCGGGGGACAAGATGGCTCCGCGTCGGGAGCCTGATCGAGGCGTGATGCGAACCCGTGACCGCCGCACCGGGACACGGCCCGGCCCGGCCCGGCCCGCGCGGCGCTGCCGCGGCCCGGACTCCGTCACCTCACCGGGGACAGAGGGACGGGCGGAGCGGGAGCCCGGCACCCCGCGGATGGGGGCGGCCGGGGCCCGACGCTGTCCGGGCAAGCCGGGGCTTGCCCACGGGCGGTTGGCGGCGCGGCCCGGTGCCAGGCTCGGCCGGCGCTCCCCCCCCGCCGCGGCCCCACGTGCACGGCCGGGGCGAAGGCGGCCCGGCGGCGGCTTTGTCTTCGCTGTGCTCGGGCTGGGAGGCAGCGCCGGCTGCGAGCGAGGACGTGAGTCCTTTCCAAAATGAGCTCTATGCAGTAGAGGTGGGGTATGCCCGAAATCGGGTGTGCAGCCTGTCTTGTTCGGCAGGAAAAGTCCGCAGAGGAGTGATTTAAGTACACGTTGATGTTTCCCTAGCAATCTGCCTCGAACCGTAGAAGCTGACGATTGCAGTCAAATACCTTAATTTTGTCCGAACCTGCTTTTAAGACCTTGCTATCTGGCTTTTCAAGGAAGGCATTTCCTTCTGAAGGTGGATCAGAGTTCAGCATTCGAAGATTTTTTTTTCCTCATATGCTGCCGTTTCTTTTTCTTTTTTTTTTTTTTTTACCACCCCTAGTAATCTCAGTGCCTGTGCTGCCTAACATCTGTGACCACAGAGCGCTGTGTGTATTTAAGCACAATCAATCAAATAACACATGGCTTTCTGGTGGTAGCATGCCTTGCAGAAGCAGGGAAGCAAGAAAGACAAAGAACTAACAAAATCAAGTAATCTACAGTAACAGAAGCGGGATTGTTTGCTCTGTGGTAGGCAGCTATGCACATGGCAAGTATTATGAGCTGACAGTTGTACAGTTCTTGTGGCATGAGGTTCCTGTGATTCTGGTCTTTCCTATTTTTGCTGGAGACAACTTTCCAATATGTCTACCTGCATCTGCTGAGTTTTTTGAAAGCAGTGACTCGAAAGTATGAACCCTGTCTCTTTGTAATCTCATAAAACTGCCAAATAAAGAAAGCTGAAGATTACACTTAAATGCCAGCTTATATGTGGCATCTAGTGATGGAACAGCAAAGGATTTTGAAGTTGTCTTTCAGGAACAGAGTTGTTTTGGGGGAAAATGTGGAAGAAACAGTATAGAAATTGCACAGCCATGAGAAGAAATATAAGAGAGAAAGAAAATGAGTGACAGATATAGCAGGAACCAAGGGAGAAGGATGTCATTGTCTTACTGAAACTAAATGTGTTAGTAAGGCAGCAAATAAATAGAATTTAGCCTTATCTAATAACTTCTGTCAAGTGAAACTTCTGTTTTCTGGCAGAATATGTGCCACATAAGAATGCTGGATCTATCCCAGTGTGTAGGCTTACTGTAAGCGATGACTTCTTTTAAACATTAACCTGAACACCCAGATAAGGGTATTACTGAACTGTAAACTAGCAGCAGATATTCACCTTCTTTAAAAAATTAAAGCCTGCTCTATTGGATCAATTGAAGAGATATTTCTATATTAAATGCAAGTCCATAACTCCTTACCACTTTCTTCTCAGTTGCAACTTCCTGTTTGGTATTAATGGGTTTATTAAACTCAGTGAAATACAGAAATAACCATCTTTGTGTGTATGTACTAAATTTGTCATGTTATTGCTTAAAACATAATGGAATAATATTTTAGTAGAATGATGGGATTTAAGTAGTTTGCTATTGAAGTGGCATTGTTAAGTCATTTAGACAAAGGGATGTAATGGGTTCTGTGATGTCTTATTTTTCCCAGCATCTGCCAAGGCTTCTTTGCATGTTGTTTCTGTGGTCCACACAGAAGAACTTTGAACCCAGTCACATGGCCTCAGTTTCATCATCTCTGGAAGTTGCATTGACTTGTTATACAGGAAGTTCTGAGATGATTTTTTTCTTCCCCCTTCACTGCATATTTGAACTACAAGAACATCCTTCCGGCAGAGAGCATGTCGCAACAAATTTATGATAAACCTTTGGATTCTCCCTTCCTGTCAGTGAGATCTGAGTGTGTCTTCTTAGGCAATGGGCTGCTGTGAGTGGCTAAAATGGACAGTGTTATCACTGTAGATATCACAGTACAGGCATTCGTGTGCCCAGTGGATAGGAGATGCATCTTGTCAACAGCACCTTATGAAGGTGTGCCTCTGTCTTGCCTTATGGCTTCAAAGTTTGTACCCCTTACCCTGCCACACTTCCCTGACTGCTGTGGCAGTCGCTATTTAAGCCTTGAGTAGTAAGAGGAAGTCAGGGGTATCTGTCATTCAGTAACTTTTTGTTGGGTAGTAAGTTAGAACAACGAACTTCCTTGCAGGTGTTCTCAAATTGTCATGAAATGTAACTTATTTAGGTCTCTAGTTCTGATCCTATGGTTTCAGTAGGTGAGTGTGTCAGGTCTTGACTTCAGAGGATGGAAGACCACATAGTTCGTTCTGTTCATAAATGTTTTATGAGCAGGTGGATTGAGCAACTGTGAATCATCTTGCTCATCTTCTGAAGTAAAGTGTTATGTAACTGCATAAACAAGTGCTTTTGTTTGCACGCTTTTCAAGGTGCCACCAAGTTTTGAATAAGGATGTCAACAGCATGGGATAACCTTACACCTCTCTGCTTTTCCCATATCAGTAATGATTTAGTAGATTACTTTCATAAGCCATTTTTGTCAGACACAAGTGATTGTTTCAAACCATGAATTTACATACATGTGAATCTGTTTGTCAGTGAAGAAGATACTTTAGCTTTCTGTCTCAAGGGCATGAATTAAAGCCTTTCTTTTCAAGATGTCTTCCTTGAATAGACTATTCTCTAACTTTTCCTAGCATGAATTACAGTAGGTGGTACAAGCATAAGTAACACAATTTATATATAATATATATGTTATTTATATATATATAATTATATATTAGATATATATAATGGTCAGGTTGCCATCTCTTAGTATGTGGCCCTGGCATATTAACCTTAGTTTTGTTTTCTAAGTTTATTTTGATGGCTCTAACAGTCTAAATGTTATTTGGCTTTCTGTCATGATGGAAGCTGAACCTTGTTTCCAAAATTTTTTCAGTGTTCATTTTCCTCAAGGAAAACTTATATGTAAATTGAAAAGAATATGCTGGAGCACCCAGCTTAATGGTAAAAGCGATGAGTTGCTTTTGCTCTGTTAAAGAACCTTCTGTATACAACACTTTGCAATTTGAGTTTCTCTTAGGCAACTTCATCCTTACCTGCCAAAACTGTATGAGACAATATAGTAATTTTAAAGCCCTGTTTCCAAGCCTCTTGAAAGTTCCTGACATCATTTGAGTTCCCTCAAAGCCTGAGATTGTGTTAGTTACTGCAACACTATTTTTATAGCTGACTTCTCATCTTCCAGATCTTTTTACTGAAGGTGGATGAAGCCTTGTACTGTGACTTCATGCCATAACACAAACAGCATGCCCATGTACTACTTGTCTTTAATTTTCATTTGACTCCCAGAACAGAACTAAACTAGACTGGCAGAGCTGTCCTAGAGTACAGTGTGTTGCTGTCTAAAGGAGTTGATCTGCATGTGAAGCTTTCCTGCTAGCATTGGTGAGAAGTGATGGCATTCACATCAAAGAAAAATGTGAGCTTTGCTCCTTTATAATAAGGCAGCAGCAGTTGCCAAGGCAAACAGTGAGGCTTAAATACATGCTTGGTTAGGTCCTTAGCTTTGTGAATTATTAAGGTACTGATGTGTATAATGCTAAGTCAGTAATTAACAAAATTAATTCCTTCGTAAGGGTTAATAACACATAGAACTCAAATGTAACATTGCATAATCTGCTTACTTCAACTTTATATAAGAATTTGAACTGTGCACCCAGTTTCTAGATGTGATGTTAAAATAAATGATTTTTTACTTAACTAATACTTTACTGCCTGCCCTTTTCCTTATCCCCATGATGAGTTTGTCTGGTATCTTGAGTACTCCTAGCTGTATGCTAAGGGCAGCCTACCTAGCAGACTGGATGAATTCTGATTACTTGTTTCTTCCTACCTGTC